GTCTTCTCAACAGACTTATTCAACCTATATAGTGACAGAAGATTGCTAGAAGAAAGGACTAAATATAAACTACAAGAAGACAGGATGCATGGTTGTTAGCAAAAGGATGAGTCCAAAATGCAAATCACAAATTGGGCATACTAAAATAACAAACAAGTACAAAAATTTAAATATCTGGGAAGTTTTAACAGAGAATGGATAGCCAAAGATGCATTCCAAATGCTAAGCAGAGTATTAATAGACAGAAAAACTTAATTAGAAACAAAGAAAAGAGTACTGAACGGTTATGTGAATACTGGACCATCTCCTCAAAGATGAAGAAAAGACTTAAAACAGAAATGTGGTTCTAGAGAAGGATGTTGAGGATACTATGGATTGAACATGTGAGCAATGACATGGTTTTGGAGAAAATGGAAGCAAAAAGGAAACTTTGAAATTTCTAGGGTGCATAATGGGGAAAGAAGGCTTAGAAAATCTGATACTCAAGGACAGATTGAGGGGAAAGAGCAACAGAGGAAAACAGTGCATAACATACTTGATGAGCCTGAGTAATTGGCAGAACAGGGTTTGAGAGATATAGCAAAAAGACAAAAATTTATTAAGAGCTAGAAGGGACAGGAAGTTGTGAATGGCCATGATTGCCTACATCCTGAGGGGGGATACAGCACATAAAGAATTGAACACTATTGCTGCTGCTACTACAACTAAGCAGCAAGGTATCTAAGCCTGCTAATGTATATACATGGCCCTTCAGGGACCGTTACAATAACACTGTTGGTATAGAAATGTACTAGTATTGATATTGTTTATATTAATATCATTCTGAGTATGTTAATTCTAATGTTTATTTTGGAATATTGATAAATCCTGAATAGAATACTATTATTATAAATCATTGAATGATAGCAATGTTGACATATTGATACCTGTCTCTAGTGAACTTTTATTACTGTTTGTATTCTATTTACTTTCAGTAGGTAGGAACATTTAACAAAATCTAGATTCAAAAAAAAAAAAATAAGAAACAAATTGTGTAATAAGTATTGTTAGAAAATGAGCTTGGTCATTTACAAGCAATTTTCTGAAAAGAATCCGTATTATATAATCAACAGATAATTGTTTTAAATTAAAACGTATTTGATGTTTGAAGAAAAAAAGATTATTTTTTATGAGTGCAAGAATTTTGAAGTTGATATCATCATTTAAATAAACACTTTTTTTTTTTCTAACTTCGTTAAGGGAACAGATTTTACATTTATCAGTCACAAAAAAAAGATGATTTTATAATGTATAGTGAAAGCTAAAAAGTAGATTTCTATTTTCTTCTATCCTTCAATAGTTAATTGCCAAGTTTAATGTAGATAAGATAGAACCAGCGTAGTAATTTTACAATTGCTCATAAATTGAAGACATCGTATATCTGTTCAATCGTTTGTTAAATAATTTTATTTGCTTTATGACTGAATTGATAATGTTTATCCTCACAAAATCCACACTTGGAATATTAAAAATTGCAGAATTGCTCTTGTACAAATTTGAAGTAATAGCTTTTTTTTTTTTTTTTTATTAATGAGGTAATTTAAAACCTTATATGATTGCTGAAAAGAAAAACCTTTCCATTTTTGTTAAATATATTGATTATCTAGAGGTAAGTGGGTTTAATCTTTGCTATTCACCCATACAAAACAATGAGTGTAATCTCTATTGTTTTGCATGTCTGAATATTTATGAATGAAATGTCAATAGTTGTAAGAGTTGAAAAGAATTAGTCTACATTCATCTAGCCAATCAGCAATCAAATAGTAAGAAATTTACAATTTAGCTATGAATTGAATTCTCTAAGGCAGTTTATTTATATAAGTCTATGGTTGTAGATTCATTAGGACAGTAACATTCAGATTGTCTCCAAGTAATTGTATTTTATAAAATTAGTATTTCTTTTTTTTTTATTCCATTTAAGTTAAAACAATATACAAACTTCATATATATATATATATATATATATATATATATATATATATATATATATATATATATTTGTTTGTCTTCAATTCTAAATGTCGTAATTTTTCAGTTGTAAATTTTTCTTTGAAATTAATTTTTTTTTTAAATGGTTTACATTGAAGTTGTTATATTATCAATTAAATTGTAATATTTATTAATTTGTATTATTAAATTATAATATTTTATTTGATTTATTATGTTATATTTATTAAAATAACAAAGTAAATATTTGTTAATATGTGGACATTGATCCAGTATCTCATTCTTATTTTATAATTTGTTACTAAAAGATAATATTGATAATTTTTCTTCTAAATACAGTCTACAATTTCTATTGGTAATATTATATGGGTGTACATTTTTTTATAATTTCCCATTTAACTTTAGTAGGTATATTATTTTATTTTTGTCTCGTATATATTTTGATAATGTTGTGCTATTTGCGTATTTATCTATTTTAAATGACGCCATATGATTATTAAATCTTTCTTTAAAAGTGGTTTTGTTTGCTCCTATGTGATATTTTTTCTTCTGTATTAATATTACTTGATACAGTTGCTTTATATATTATATTATTAGTTAAACATTTATTAAATGGACAGTTATTTTATTTCAACAATTACAATTATTGCTATTTTGCAGAAGTGTGTCATTATTATTGCTATTGTTTTTATTTAATATTTTCTGTTTATTATTTTCTCCATATTATTCGTACAACTATAACTGATTTTTATTGTATTTCTTAATGATTTTTGATAGTTTACTATTTTTAGAAAAGTGGTTTTTTTTTTGGGTTTTTTTTTTTTCAATTAATTTAAAGAATATTTTTCCTATTTTTATTATTATTATAAGGAGGGTTAAACCAGATTGTTTCTTTTTCTTTCATTTTTGTGTGTATTGTTTTTAGTTATGTATTCTAATTTAGTTGAATAACCACTTTTTCTTAATTCTAATTCATATTTTATTTTCATTAAATGTTTTTATATGGCTAGAATTATTTGCAATTCTTTTGTTAATAGATATTGGTATATGTTTAAATAAGAGGTTGATTTGAATAATTATATGCCTGTGATTTTGCATATCTGCACCATCATAACTGCCTATTGTTACGAATGAGAACTTGTATATATTTAGGTTTCTCAGTAGTAATGTACTTTTGTTGTTAGTTTTTATAGTAGTATGATTATGCCTTGGATGAAACCTTTGAACTCAAAATTATGCTTGTGTTTTTTGGGTTTTTTTTTTTTTTTTTTTTGTCTGTCTCCTTTGTGGATTCCAGTGACAAATTTTAAACTGAGGGCTTCTCGTTCTGTATTGGAAAGCCTTATATCTGATACATTTTCTATTAGATTAGGCTTTCCAATATATTTCCACTTGCTGTTGCTGCATAGGTTGATTTTTGGAAAAACTAACCAGTAAAAAAAAAAAAAATCAACTTCTAGAATGCAATTCCGCAAAAAGTATGTTATAACAAAACCGGAAATGACTCAACTATACCAAACTATCAAATGAATGAGTGACAATCAAAACAACAAACTGAGATAAAAACTCCTCAACCTATGTAGCAACAGCAAGTGGAAATATATCAGAAATCCTAATATTTTTGACATTAAGGACACCAGACTCTATAGAGATGACTGTGTAATTCTCCTCTGTAAAACAAGTCCAAGAAATATAGACTGATTGAGAAAGGAACTGATAAAATTTTTTTCAAAGGTCATAAGCTAAATAGCACCATTACCACCAATGCTAAAGTGATCAACTTTCTTGATGTAACATTGAACTGTAATAATGGTTATTACAAACCATGTACCAAAGATCTTTATAACCATAGATACGTCAGTGAAGAATCAAACCACCATCATAACATTTTAGATAAATTACATAAATCAGTCCAAGTTAAATTATCTACTAACTTCAGTACTAAGGAAATATTTGATAATAATAAAATTAAATATATAAAAGCTTTAAAACTAAGTAAACATAAAGTAAATTTAGTATTTAGAAAACAAAATGGTAAAAATAAACAGAAACACTGTAGGTGTAATGTAATATGGTTTAATCTGCCTTTTAATCATAATGTTCATACAAATATCAGAAGAATTTTCCTAAATCTAATTCATAAGCACTTTAATCATTCGCCAACACTAAAAAATATTTTAATAAAAATGTTAAGATCAGCTATAACTGTTAATAACATCGATAAATACCAATATTAAACAGATACATGTCCGATAAAGTTAATTTAAAAACAAGAAAAAATGCAACTCTTGAAAAAATGTGTCCCTTAAACAGCCAATGTATTGTATATATGAATGATGATATTGTACATCTAGCTAACATACATTGTGGTAATGATGTCGAATTTTATTTGGGTTCCACTGAAAATCCTTGGAAATTTTGTATCTATCTACCACTTCGTCCCCAGCCCCTCAACCTCCGGCGTCTTCCTCTTTGGGTTGAGGTGTCCACTCGGTCTGAACTGAACTTAGGGGTAACTGGCTGTACGCTCCCTGAGTACCCGTAGATTATTTTGACTGGTCAACTGGTCAAGTCCTGCTCACTGCCCACACTGTGTTAGTTTTTAGATCCAGTAAGTGGGGTGTTGTCCATACGTTCATGGTCGACTGGGGGTGTGGACATGGCTGTGAGAGTTGGCAGTAGGAAGTTTAGAATGTGGCAAAATAAAACAAGAAATAATATGTGCAGAAGCCAGACAACAATGGGGGGAAATATTGACATCTTTTATATAAGAAGATAACATCAGAACAGAGGTTACAGGGAGAATAAAAACATTTAACATAAAGGAGAAAAGAAAAAGTAAGATACAATGTATCCAGTGAATTCCTAACAAAGAGAGGGTTTGTGTGTGATAAATGTGTATTGAATCACCTGGGGTAGGTTTATGACTAGTAGTTCAGTCTCATACAGATTTCTCAGAACAGGGGGCAGTCCTCCTCCTCTAATTCTTCCGCAAATCTCTTGTGACACTCTCGATGACGGGCTCATTCTCAGTCTCTCTCCCATCTATTTGTAACACCACAACCCATAATGGTCACCTGCTGGTGCTCACGCATGTGACAACGATGTGCCGACCGATCACAGCCTTTCCCGTCTCTCTCCCCTGTCTGGCCCCTTCCGCCTCGCTCTACTGTCTGCTTCCTCATCAGCATAACTACGCTGGTTTATATAGATAAATCTGTTTGATCATGAATCGACCCTTGGCCAGGCATGCGATTATCATGAGTGCCAAAAACTATCCCTTGACATGTAAACCGATTCTCCAATTATTTACCATGAGTTCTTCTCGCTTCACCAAAATTATACTTTGGGATATCTAAACTTTGATTCAACCTTTTAATCAAAACAAATACTGTTAAACAAAACCAAATATCTCATAGCCTGAGTAAGCTCTATTTCAATTTTTAACCGATAATTTTATTTAGATCATTTTTTTTCATTGTTTTTTTTTTTTTCTAATGACCCAGATTTAAAACATTGCCTCCCACCTGAGATCGTGTTTCTCATAGGTAAACACACATCTTAACCCAAATTGTACTTTGATATATAAACACCATTTCCATTTCCAGTCAATAAAAGTTATATGTGAGTGTGTGTGTATACCTCTCTCTGTTACATCTACCATCATTGAATGACTTTAGGTAATATAAAATATATAAACAGCATTGCTCTCTCAAAACATTTCTGGCAATTAAAGAATGGTGGTAATACACCCATTTATTACATATTAAAGCCAAATCTTACAATGGGAAAGTTGATATAATTTATGCTTTGTTGAAAAAGTAGTTATTTTAAAACACTTACATAAACCTAGCTTATTAAACAGGAAAAATGAATTGATGGTTACATGTAGGCATAAAAATATCTGCTGAAATAAATTGACCCAGATTAATTTTTAATGTAAATTATGGGGGGGGGAGAGGTTGTTCTTGTTTTTACTTTCCCTTTATGCTTAATATAAAAAAAATTAATATTTACCACTCTAAAATAATTATATATATATATATATATACACACACACACACACAGTTTATTTTAGATGCCAAATAGTGTTTTTTTTTTTTTTTTTTTTTTTTTTTTTTTTTTAAATAAACTGTTATCACTGTATAATGTTTGACTCTGCCAACATTGCGGTAACTAGATATTTTTATTAAAATTATATTGTAACGCTCGGTCTATACTCGGCACCTGAAGATTGTATTGTGCATGAAACTCAATCGTGCAACTGGTGAAGGGGATATATATATATATATATATAATGGGATTGCAAGCAGAATCTTGGTCAGACTGACCTAAGTTATTTTATCTGATTCCCTCAACAACCAGCTTAATAAAAAAATTCTATTGATATATTCTCTTCTTATTCAGACTGTATACAATAATTTCTCTATAACTGCACTCTCCAACTCTTGAGATTTAATCTTTGTCTATTTACTTATAACTGTTTCTGCAAAAAAAGAAAAAAAATCACTTATGATTATGTTAGCAGGTAAGGTTTTTTGGATGCCAAGGGTCTTACTTAAATGTTTTTTTCTTATTAGATAATTCTATAATTTAGAATGCTTATTATATGATGTAGTTTCTATGCCCATTTATGTTTTGGATATATGTGTATAGTAAGTGCTCCAAATAAAGTAATAAAGTTGAAAAATCTTTCTTGAAGCTTTAATTTTAGTTGTAATTCTAAGCTAATAGATTAAATTTAATATTTCTAATGAGCAGAATTCTTTGGTGTCATTCAAAATGAATTTAAACTGATTGGCATTTTTTTTCCCTCTTTACCAGTAAAATGTATAAATTTGTCCATATTCACAGATCTGTTAAAATTTTGTTTTTTTTTGTTTTTTAAAAAAAACTTTAAAAAATAAAATATAACTTTCTGAAATGTCATTTGCTGATTTTAAAGTTTAATTAATCTGAGTTGAAACAAATATTACTTTTAGTTTAAAATATTGTAGAAAAGTATTTTTTGTTAAAATGGGGTAGGTGTTTTGATTTATTAACAGTTTGGGACATTTAAGTAAAGTGGCTATAATTGAAGAAAAATTACATGAAAAAAATACATTGTCAATAGTTTATATATTTTTTTAATTACCAAATAATCTTAAAAATTTAAAATATTTTAATCATGCTAATATTTTATTGAATTTTAGGTACTTTGGCTTTGTAGCTTTACTTACAAAGATGCTTGTTGGGAAAATGTTAGAAAAATGTTAGAAAATTACAAATTTTGAATTTCCTATAGGTACCTTATTTTCTGATAATGTTGTGTATGGATGTCCATATTTACAAAAATCAATGCATTTATACACAAAAAAAAATTCAAAATTCTTTTTAAAATACTTGATTTCATTGAATTGGAGTAAATACAATTTTAATTGAATAGCAGTATCACTTGACCATTCCAAGTTAATGCAGGATTTTAAGACTTAAAAGTTTATAAAATATTCTAATTAAAAAAAAAAAATGAAAAGTTCTTGCAAAAATTCATTATTAATTGAGAAAAATCTTAAGACAAGTCCATAATATATATTTTATTCAAAACAAAAACTTTTGTAATTAAATAGTGTCTTAGTTTTATTTTTTATTTTATGATTCTGTGTAGATTTTCTGTAACTGGGGGGTCCTGTCTGACTAAAAAAAAAATTGTCAATTTAAATTTGCTGAGGACTTGTCCTTGTAACAATTTAAGTAATACAAAAATTCTCAATTTTATAAAAATTATACATACCTTTGCTTGGATTCTAGATCTGCTGGAAATAGATATTTAGTAGGAGCAAAATAGATGATATTAAGAAAATAACTTTTTTTTTAACATTTGTTTGTCTATGTGTGATTGCATTAATTTGGTTACAATTGTTTTGTAGGAATATTTTTTTTTTCTCTCAACATCGAGCTTATTCTCTAAATATAAACCCAAAATAAAAGTATCATAAATATATAATTCACACACACACACACACACACACACACATAATGACAGAAATTGTGTTGATTGATTTTAATGTTTAAATTTTCCAAATTCTGAATCCTCCTTCTCAGAAAAGGAGGAAATTCCATTAGGAATTCTCCAATGTTCATTTTGGAAGAAAAGTACAAGAAATATAGCCCATGCTTTCGACTTAAATCATCATTAGGGTAGAGAGACAATTTGTGAATTTCATAGAACTAGTGAGTGTTGTGATGTAGGAGAGGTGTGACTTTTTTTTAAAATATACACTAGCAGTAGAGCCTGGCGTTGCCCGGGGATGTAACAGTAAGAGATAGATCAAGTATTGACCATCATAAAGACTGAAAAATAAAATTGACAAAGATTATTGTTTAAGTTTGACGGACACGCATGTCTTAATTAGTTTTATTTTTTTTTTTTTTTTTTGGTCAAAGCCAAACTCGAACAAAAGCATTGTTTTCAATCATTGAGTCTACCGATTGAATAGAATTTTATTATAAACAATTGTCTTGTAAATGGAATTTTTAAAGCATTCTTAATGTAAAAATAAAGAAAAAAGTGTGCAAGACAATAAGAAAACACTACCTGCCAAAAAAAAGTGAAGTTTTGTTGAAATCGGCTGAAAAATGTAGGAAATCCGATCCCATATATAATGAACAAGCAACACACACACACACACAACCTGGGTTTTATAATAAGTATAACTCGATATGAGTTGTCCCCCTTTCATTCTCACAATGCCTCTTCATCGTGTTTTCAAATTGATTTTGTGCAAAAACAATTGTTTTTCCAATTTTTGGCACTGTCAGAACCACCACAAGGTAATTTTACATAGTCCTGTGAAGTTTTGTTGAAATCAGTTGAAAAATGTAGGAAATCCGATCCAATATATAAATGTACACACACACACAACCTGGGTTTTATAATAAGTATGATTTAAGGATGTGGGCACTTAAGATATAATTGTTTTTATTTTTTTTGATGGTTTTTTTTTTTTTTTTGTACGAGTATTACTTCAAGGATCATAAATCTGTTTTTGCTATTTGATTTTACTAGTATTTTGGTATTTGCAAGTAGATGTCTAATGTTACAATGATCCCTATGCTGCTTATTAATGTGTTTGTCTGATGGCACTATGGTCTAATAAGGTGGCAAGTGAGTCTGAATGTGGGTGTAGCATATCCTATGTAAGATTCTCTTTTTTTTTTTTTTTTTTTTATTTATAGAGAAAGTGGGCAAGTATATTCATACACAACACTACTATGGCCAAACTATACTCTGACATCAATCAACCAAACCTTTTTATACAAAACCAGGATAACTCTCACAAATGTAAAATTTAAATAAAGAAAAAAGCTTATACAAAGAATCAAGATCTGATAAAATACTCAATCTTTCAAACAAACAACTTACTGAATATCTAAAAAAAAAACTTAAAATTTTGGACCAAACTGCCATATATAAAATAAATGCAACATCAAACAAACTGAAATAGGAATCTTTTACAACAATATTGTAAACTTACAGAAAGATAATATCATCACATCTCACTCAGGACTAAAAAAAAAACTTATTAAAAAGTGAATCTTTCAAAAACAGATATTTTAAAAACACTAATTCACTTTTAAACAAATCAAACTTGAAAAAAAAAACTGATAAATCAAACACTTTCATAATATTAAATAAGGATGAATACTACAAAAAAACTGCAGTTAATACTAGATGATACTACAGAATTTTAAAACAATTATAGAAAATCACATCTATTCTGCTAAAAAAAAATCCACATAAATCTACTGATAACTGTTAAAACTTGGAAAACAAAATCACTGGTTTATAATCTTCCTGGTTATTTATGAGAATGTTAAAATCCATAAGTCAGGCAATCCACTCCGCCCTATAATATCACAAGTTCCTACACTTGTATATCAAGAATTTTAAACTAATCATACCATACTTACCTACCAAATATAGTATCTGCTCTACTAATTAACTTTTATAAATTCTTCACTCAACCTAACCTCAGGATGAAATCTTAGCATCCTTAGATGTTGAAAATTTGTTCCCTAACATTCCAGTCCATGAAATAATTGACATTATTTTAAGTAACTTTTAACATCCACAACATGAGTCTCTTTCCACAATCACCTTGGTAATATTTATACCCAGACTGACAGTATCCCTATGGGCAGCACTCTGGGCTCTTTATTTTTCAAACTTTTAGAAAAGAAAATATTCAATAAAATAAACTCCTTCATGCTAGATATATTGATGCCATCTTCATCCAAATTAAATCCGTTAATGACATTATAGAACTTGAAAAAAAACTCCATTTTAAAATTCACTTATGAAGTAAATACAATAAATACCTTTTCTAGAGATTCTCATTGACTATAACAATAATAATTTTTTTTTATATTAAGTCTGTTTGTTCTAATTTTTGTCTTCTAAATTACAACAGTGAATGCCCTGAAAAATATAAAACTGCTGTCATTAATAACCTAATCCAAAGAGCTAAACTTATTTCCTCATCTAAAATAACTTTCCCTAAAAAGAATTAATATAAAATGAACACTTATCAATAATAGGTACCCTAATTATATAGTCAACAAGCAAATCAAATCAAATTTCATCTAAACTAACAACAACAATTATAATAAAAACTAGTCATAAACATAATATTGACAATAACATTATTAACATATATTACCAAAGTTAGATTAACCACAATTATGAAAAGATGAAATGGCAATAAAAACAAAAAACACCTTTTTTTTATTTATTTATATATATATATATATATATAACTGGTCGCTAAAAATAAATATACCAGATTTATTATTTACTACAAAAAATTCAAAACTAGCAACTTATTGAAAATAATGTATTCCAAACTCCCAACCACCTATACAAGATCAATGTTGTATATGAAGATACTTGCCCACTCTGAATGTTTCTCTGTAAATAAAAACACAAGATGTCTTACATAGGATATACCACAACCACACTCTCAAGGTGTCTCACCTACTACTTATCAAACCATAGTGCCATCAAAGAACACGTTAATAAGCAGTATGAAGATCATAGTAACATAACAGCTGCTCAAAAAACCTACCAAAATACTAGCAAAATCAAATAGTAAAAACATAATTATGATTCTTGAAGCAATACTCTTACAACAAAAGCAACAATCAATAAATAAAAACAATTAAAACTTAAAAGCCCACATACTTAATTATAACACACACACACGTCATGATACTCTTTGCCTATGTCACAACTTGTTCTATGAAATTCACAAATTGTTTGCTTACCCTGGCAATGAATTGTTGAAAGATTGGACCATATTTCTTGTACTTTTATTTTTCCAAAGTAAATGTGGAACAATTTGACAGGATTATTTGTAATTTGAAAAAAATTATCATTAAAATTGACACAAATTAACACAAAATGTCTGTTCTTTTCCTTAAAGAATATTTGCTGCCTAAATACACAGAATAATATATATATATAAATGTATTTTAAAAGATAAGATTTCCTCTTTTTATAGAAGATGTGTTGACATGAAGATTGTAAACATTGTCAATTCTTAGGCTGTTCAGGGTTTTTACATTTAATAAGTTGTCTTTGCCTTTTTGGCTTTTGTATGGCACTTTTAACATTGATAATTGAAACCTGTTTAACAGGTTGATGCTATTTAAGATTTATTTTCTACTACCATTATACTTCACTGTCCTGTCTCCAAATGCTGATGAAAATGCTTTATTCAGACTTTATTTTCTAGGTTTATCATTTGTACATGAGATTTTCGTAACCATTTATTGGTTATGAAAATCACATATACAGGTTAGCTTGTGTTAAAACTTATTACCTATTAGATGTTTAAACAGCATATTAAAATATTATCAATGTTAGACTGTTATGATATAAAATGGTTTACAGTATCTTCACAATGAAATGGAAAGGTAATATTGTATTAAACTGTTTTTAGTCTTTGAATGTTGTCAAAAGACCACTTCTTTTTTTTTTTTTCTTTTGTGGAACAGTTCATATTTAAAGCTAACTGGAAATTATTTTATTGATATTTTACAACTGAAATATTATTGGAGTTCATAAAACCCAGCTAGAAGGTCTTTTTTTTTTTTTTTTAAATTTATTTTTTTAAATTCATGACACTGTATCTACATTGAATTGATCAACATGATAATATGGTATGTTATATATATTTTTAACCATCTCCACAACAGATGTTTGAAGAATGTTTTGTCAAGAAGTGATGAATGAATGAATGAATATGGTAGCAAATGAAATATACCATTTGATGTGTTGAACCTTGATTGAAGCAAATGAAATGTTTTCATTTGTAATCTCGGCATTGTACTAATTTATATCACTCAATATCTTCTTTTTATATTGTCAATTACAAGCAGTGTATTTCTGTTGTTAAACAGTTATGCATTTTGAATTCCATTAAAATATGCTAAACACATTTAAACATTGACCCAATAACAATTTTAATGTGTTTTATTTCTTTTCCATTTGTCATTGCTTGCTGTTACTGCTTCACTAGCCAACTGTGGGAGTAGCATTCAACAGCATTCATGACCAACTGTTCCTCAAATTCCAAAACTTGTGGGTTTAATCAATATTGACTGTTGCTTGTCTTTATTGTAGAATGTCTTGATGCCTCCTCCTCCTCCTCCCAGGTCAAAAGATGATGTCAGAACATACAGAAATTTCCACATCCAAAAGGAGGTAAATCCGTGTAAATAACTCAGATTTATCGTTAACCCTTTCCCCGACACAAGATTAAAAAGAAAAAAAAAATTCCAGTTTCCCATTGCAAGAAGTTTTTTTTTTTTTATTTCTGATAACAATAAGCTTTTTGTTGTTAAAATATATAAGTAATTTTAGTTCACATTGAATTTAAAAAAAACTTATTCCCCCCTGTTTATTTGGGGGAAGATAGTTGCCAATTTATGAGCATATCTCTTTAGTGTACTTTGAGAATTTTATTTATATTAAATAGAATTTTACTTTCATTGTTTTTTGTAATTCACATTTATAATACCAAAGATTCTATAGAATACCATTGTGAGAATCTGAATTTCCATATTTCTTTTCTAATATGACCAATTTCTTTTGTATATAATCCCCCTCCCCCAGTTTCTTAAGTAAGATTGTATTGTTCGGGAGGGTGGGGAAAACAAAATTGTTTAACTTCATTACATCTGAATTTTTTATTTAAATTTTTCTTTTTACAGACTTTGCTTTAATCAAATATTTAAGCTTTCTATTTGTGAAACAATGTTTGAGATAGGTCAAGTATCTCAAACATGGGCACTTTAAAAACATGCATTTTATTAAGAACCGTACACTGCTTTTACTTGTTGGAAATAATATAACAAATAAAAAAAAAATAAAAAAAAACTTTTTAGCAATATGAAAAACTGGAAAATTTACCAATATTAAAATGACATGGGCTAATTTTATCTCTTCAAAATTGGGATATTATTTTAAGGCTTATAAATTAATCTTCTCTATTCTTTTTTTGTGATCATTCTTCAGGTGATGCCAAACTGTGAATGTCTTTTTTTTTCTTTTTTTTTTTTTATAAAGATTTGCTATTTTTCTCAATTTTTCAGTACAATTGAAAGAAATATTGAATATAAATTAAAATTTTGAAGTGAAAATGTTTATATAAACATTATTTTTTACCTTAAATTCAGTATTGCTTCTTTCACTAAGTGAACTTTTTCATGTCATATTCTGTAAAGATCTGTAACTCTATAGCATTTGCTCTTTGATACACAGATTAAATGTAATTTTTGTTTTTTTTTTCTTTTACAATAAATTTAATTTGAGTATTTTACATATTTTATGATCAGAAATGGCAAAAAAGAGAATTGCATTTCACAGTGTTGCAACATCTGAAAACTTTTTTCCTTAATTATTTTCCCCAATTTGTTTAATTTTTATTAACCTTTTTTTTTTTTTTTACTTCTTTTACATAATTTTAATAACTGTGATTGTGCTGGTGGATAAATTAATCCCTTGTGTAATCTGGAATAGATAATGTCTACCTCTTTTGTTATCTGAGAATGTAGATAAGATAACTTGTTATCTATTCTATAAGATTGTACAGATGACAAAATCAAGATGTTAACTTCAATGATTATACTCTTTGCAGTTTTGCAATTTTTAAAAAATATTTTTTTATTAATAAAAATCTTAAATGATGTCAAATTTTGGACATAGAACTAATTTTGAAAAGCGTGCAAAAATCGGGGTACATAAAAAATATTTATATTAAAAGCATATTTTTTCATTTTCTCACACACTGCAAATGTGTATCTGCAGGAAGAAAATCCCATTTTCTTGTGGAGTAAAAAATATTTTCACAATGCTTTTTTTTTTTTAATTAGTAGATGCATGCTTTGTTTCTAATAGTAGTCTCTTGTGGGGGGGGGGAATAACAAGTAAGATATTCTTGGTAACTATTGCTACTGTTAGCTTTACTTTTGATGGCATCCAAAGTAAAATCAGGGAAAGATATCCCTGCACTGTTAGCACCAAAAACAAGAATGTCTAAAACACAATAGCTTGTAACTTGTAAGGAAGAATCCTAAAGAGTTTTCTTTTTCCAGAAACCCTAAATATATTAATTCATTTGGCTACTTGTGGTGACAATTCATTTGTGTTGATTTGATATTTATAAAGATTACTTTTCTGACATTCTAAGAGAAAGATGACTCTGAATCCAAAACCATAACTAAATCATAGGTTGCACTTTGGCAAGATATAGCATCCAGTAGCCATCCCTGCCAGGTTTATGGTGAAGACATCGGCAACAGGATGTTGGATGTAGTCCGCATCTAACAGACCAGATTTGGCATTGAACTAAAATATTGTCATGCAAAAGATCCTTCATACTGGATAATGGAGGAGACCTAATTATTCCAAGTCAGATGAAAATTGCAGGAACACAGAGTAGCACCTTGTGTCTCCTAATATATGTGCTACCAAAGTCACTCTGATGACCCACATAAAGCAACATGAGGAAGAAGCATGTGGATGATATGGGGCATCCTAACAGACAATCTAGTTCTGTTAGTGTAGATGAATAAGATTTGTAATGGATTTATTATAATTAACGACACCTTGACAAAATATAATGAAAAATATTCATATATAATGTGCAGATGGTGTAATGGTTATCAGTACAGAAAGTGCAATTGGCAGACCGAGTTCAAATTCTAGCCTAGTCAAACCTGTTTGCTTTTGCACTAATGCCTTTGGGAAAGGCATAAATCCATCTCTTCCCCTAGCTATGAGTTAAATAGCAAAGTGGCTGTACTGCAGGAAAAGGACGATCATGAATTCAAAGCCTTGGTGAATAGAAAACTGCTCTACCACCTTTCCCAACATCATAGAAATTCACAAATAATAAAGAAAAAAAAATATGTGGAGAGCTGTGATCAGCCATGTCCTGAAAAGACATGGTATTTGAAAAAAAACCCAAAAAACTATTATTGAATATGTCAGTCAATACAAAAGGTAAATCTAAGAACTGAAAAGATATAACTGATATTTTAATAATAAATATATATGAAAAAAAAAAAAAAACAATTATGACTAGGAATTAAGTTTTATATTTCCAAAATTATTCACCAAAACTGAGACACGTATAAATATAACTGTTTTGAAGAAAGAGGCTTTATACCCCTCCACCTTTTCTTCTCTTCTTTTTTTTTAAGTGGGTGGTGGCAAGGATTGAACTCTGAAAGAGGACATGATTTTGGGGAGTTTTAATAGATTTACTCTTGTTTCACAGAATGCCTAACATAGGTTTGTTTGTACAGAAACCATATTAATTTTTCACACCATCCTCCTCTTCCCTGCACATTTGGGTCAATTTTTTGCACTCTCCCTCATTTCCTAGCTTGTTGTCTCTTTTCACTGCTTTCATTCATTTCTTTTTTTCCTTCTGATATTGTAAACTCATTTCATATTCTATTAGCACTTCTTCACCAGCTTATTCAATTTTATCCTATTTTCTCTTATTCATGCCTCTGTGTGTCAGTATGTATATTTCAGAAACATTAAAAAATATGGTTTGTGAGAAATTTGCTTAACATATTAACTTTATAATGGTTGCATTAAAAATTTGACTGTAACCAGTTTATTTTTTTTCTTTATATATTCCAAACATTCACATAACAAACTACGGATCAACATGTTCTGTAATTTAATTTATATTACCAGAAGATCATTTTGCTTTTTTTCTTGGTAATCTGCTTAAATCTTGTCAATAAATGACTTTGTTCAAAATAGTTAATTTAAGTTATAATTTAAATTATGATTAAAATTATATTAAAAAAGAAAATATTGAGACCCTTTAATTAAATCCATAACCAGGAATTTTTAAAAAAAAAAAAAAATGTATAATTTTCTTCAAAGGCAAAAGTTGAGATTGCTAAATAAGAATTTCAAAATAATTTCAAAGTCCCAGATGTGCAAATAAATTCTCTTATGTAAATCAGATTGTTAGAATTAATATAAGTTATTGTTTTATATAAGCTGCAGATTTTATCAATAATTTTTACAGGAAAGCACCTGATTGCAAGAATAAATTACATGGCAGGCATTATTGTTACTGGTAATGTCTCACTGTGAAATTTTTAGTTTAATTTCACCTTTTGTGATAGTTCCCAAAACACATGCTGTTATCATTGATAATCTTATGGATAAGCATTCATTTATCTCTATACAAGAGTAAATGGCCGGGGAGAAGTGGTGGGGGGAGGACAATAGTGGGTTTTGCATGAATGTGATAATTAGCATCATTTTGTAAACTATTGATGACTGATGTAATGGCATTATTTTATAAACTATAAAAAAAAAAAAAAGATACAAAATATTAGGAAAACGTTACAAGAAACAAATGAACATTAGAAAAAACTACATAATGTCACAAAAATAGGGAACCTAATCAAATGATAAAATGGTGGATTAAAGAATATAATTGAATCAGAATTTAATAGTTGGTTCATCTAGCAAATTAATTTAATAAGACTTTGGAATCATAGATTCTGATAACAAAAAAAAAGAAATAATAAAAAGAATGTATATTGATAAATTCTTTAACCTGATTTGTATACTCTTTTTCTACTTTACAAATTATTGTACTAAATTCTATTAGAAATCTACAAAGTTTGAGAATAATGTCTAATATCCACTTTGATGTCCTGTTTGTCTTTACAATATTCGTTGCTTTTACAATTATGAAATTTTACATGTATACATGACATATTAAGAATAAATTTCTCTCATTTGTCATTTTTGTTCTATATGAATCAATCACTCCAGGTCACTTTTTAAAAAATATTTTTTAATTCATTATCATTTTTATTTATTTTTCTCATGTTAAGATTGTATTGTTGCATGTGGATTAGTAAAAATAATTTAATGAAAGTTACTTCAGAAATACTGGGTAACTTTAGTAGTGTTATAAAATTTTGTAATTTTTACAAAAAAAAAAAAAATGAAAACAAAAATAATCAATTTCTTATTGGATAAATAAATTTTGCTTGACTTGTGTATGTGATATATTTTCTTAGTGTTTTAGACAACTTTAGTTTGGAAAAATTTGAATGTTTAAATTTATTCTGAAATGGTTCCAATTGTTTGTTTCTTTTTTTAATTATTTTATTTCAGCTTTTTGCTTATTTCAAGTCTAGGAATGAGAATTGTAT